CGGACATACCATATTAAAACACGTATTTCTTACAATTTGGTGACCCCGACATGATGGATGATCTTGAATAAGCAGAGAACATTGGACTTTAATTTTTGGCTGTTGAAGAACCTGAGAAGATTTTTGAAACATCATCTGCTGAGAGTGTGTACAGAAAAGCTTCAAGATGCCTCCTTTGTTTTCCAAAGAGGATTTCTGCCAGCTTCTCCAAAAGGTAACAGTGTTGGAGCTCAAGATTCATCGTCTAGAAGAGATGAATGCTTTGGAGGCCTCAACATGCATTCGAATGGGTGAGAAGGTTGAGAGGAGAGATCAACACGAAGAGGAGATGGAAGCTGTTTCTGTGGTCAAAACTGAATGAAACTCTCTTGGAGTCAGACCAAAAAATCTCTCAGAAAGGATTCAGCTCTTGGATGACAACGAACTGCCAGAATTACAGAGAAATACTTTTTCTCCACCAGCAAGGAGAATAAAGCAGAAACAAGCTGAAATCAAAACAACTGATAACAGCCAGAGAAATGAAGCAGCGTTTCTTCAAAACAGATTCACACCACTGGAAGAAACTGGTGAGCCTGAACAAAGTTCATGTCCTGATCTACGAGAGGGACCTGAGACCAGTTCCAGCTCAAAGCCAAAACAAGTCCGAAAAGAGACTTTCAAGAATCAAGAAATGCTGATCATCACATATTAAAATGGTGAATGAGATCAGATGCTTCTGGAACAAGAAAAAAGTCAAAGTTTTGAGTTTCGCTGATAAAGTGTCTGACCTCGCAGAGAAAATTCTGGAAATAACAGTAGAGTATCCACCTCTGAAGACCCTCATCATTCATACAGGAAGTGAAGAAGTTATGAACTGACAGTCAGAAATCCTGAAGGATTTTATTCAGTTGCTGAGTGCAGTTAAAAATCTCAACATGGATGTGTTCATCAGTGGACCCATTCCTACAGTCCGAGGAGGGGCTGAGAGCTTCAGCAGACTGTTTGCCCTTAATGGCTTTTTGGAAAAGTTCTGTGCTGACCACTCAGTGAGATATGTGGATAACTTTGATCTCTTCTGGGAGAGAAAGCATTTCTTCAAGTCTGATGGAATGACTTTGAACCAACATGGATTGGAGCTGTTAGCTTCAAACATGAAGTATTTCCTGAACCAAGTTCCGGCTGTAACCAAACAACAGGAGAGTGATCAGCTGACATATGAGGCTGAAGGACAACAGGTGCAAACTGAGACACCAATGGAAAACAACGTGCAAGTGACTGAACCAGAACCACAGAGAGGGGATTTACTTCAAGCTGCTGAACTGGAAGAACATCTGGACTAATTCTGATTGATTTGAGAGAAAGAAGTTGGATTATTTAAGTAAACAACAGGCTAGCATGGGCTATTGTTTTTCTGTTTCTTTCTTTTATACAACATGGCTCGAAATAAACTTAAACTCAAGATAAAAAAGAATGGACATTTAAAAGACAGAGACTAACAAAAAAAAAGTTATTTTTATCTTTAATGCTCTTTAATCCAGAAACATGTTTCTGTTCTTAGAGAAGGGGAGCAGTGGTACAAGCTGAGGGTGGTGTTGAACAGACGGATGCTTCATCCAAAAGACTCTGCTCAGTACTCCGGGGTCATCACCGATGTGGTTACAGACTTTACCAAAAAGATCAAAAACGTGCGCCACAGCAGCCCCACAGGGGATCTTGTTCCGGACATTGCCAACGAGCTGTATCTGTTTTCACTAGAGGGTAAGAATTAAACTTTTAACTATCTGGTTCRAAATCATTCAATTTTAATTTTATTTTTGCTTGTTTTGTTCACGGACAGGTATCTCCTCCATATTATTTGAGACGAGGCTCGGCTGTTTGGAGAAGGAAATCCCTGCCGGCACACGAGAGTTCATCCAGTCCATCGCACAGATGTTCTCCAACAGTATGGCCGTGGTGCTGATGCCAAAGTGGAGCCGCCGTCTGCTTCCTTATTGGGGGCGTTACATCGCCGGCTGGGAGGGCATCTTCACTTTTGGTGAGATTCAATAAAGGGCACTCATTAGCATTGAAATAAACAGTACAGTACGTTACATTACAGTAAGATAAGATAAGATACAATACGAGACCAGGGAACAAATGATGAAGCAATGAATATGAAGAGTGACTAACATGCTACAGGTGTGGCAGTGAAGAAGAAGCAAAACTAAACACCAAATTAACAGTTTTAAAACAAAGTAGGAGCAAATCTAAAAGTTTTAAACTGTCCCACCGCTCATAATAACTCTTCACTTTGTGATCCTCCTGTAGCTAAAGTGTTGATTGACAAGAAGATGAAGGACATTCAGCAGCAAGTGGACAAAAACGAGGACATGAAGGGGGAGTATCTGACGTACATCCTCTCAAACACGGAGATGAGCCTTAAAGACGTTTACGCCAGCATCACTGAGCTGCTCCTGGCTGGAGTGGACACGGTACATCAACACATTTCTGTAACAACGTTAATGCGCTATAACTGTGCGATATAGAGTAAATATCCTACCCATTTCAGCTGGAGACATGTGGCTTCTTCTTTGCATGATAGAGATTTAAGCAGAATTTGGGTTAGCTTTTTGTTGCTGCTGTCAAATTTATTTTGCAAAGTCTTGCTACCTCATTTTTTTATTTAAAACATTTGATACTTCAACCTCTGTGTTTTATATTTATATTTTGTTGATTTAAAGACCTCCAACACGCTCACATGGGCCTTGTACGAGCTGTCCATGAACCCCCAAGTCCAGGACAAACTGTATGAAGAAGTGTCCTCGATGGTACCTGCAGACCAGAMCCCCACTGCTGCTCAGGTCACCCACATGCCGTATTTACGAGCTGTCATCAAGGAAGCTCTCAGGTGTGACTGTTTTATGAAATATAAGGCTGAAAGATCTAGATTTAAACMTGTACTGTGTTCAGAAACATTTTTACTTCTGTTACAGGATGTACCCCGTTGTTCCTAYAAATGCAAGGATCATAAAAGAACAACCGGTAACTGTTGGTGGATATAAGTTCCCAAAGAACGTAGGTTTATTTTCATTTTGTTAGTGCCTTTAAGAAATGAGTGTCCTCACATTTTGATAAATTTCATACATACATTAGATTCTTCATTGTTTCCTGGTTGTTTTTGGCAGACTACTTTCAACTTCTGTCACTACGCCATGAGCCATGATGAGAACACCTTCCCACAGTCAAACACGTTTCAGCCCGAGAGGTGGCTCCGCGACGGCCGCCAGAGGCCCAACCCGTTTGGCTCCATCCCCTTCGGCTTCGGGGTGAGAGGCTGCGTCGGGCGCAGGATCGCTGAGCTGGAGATGTATTTGCTTCTGTTTCACGTAAGTGAAGAGTAAAAAGTAATCTAAAGAGAATGAAGATTAAAAATTGTAAATGGTAAATGAAACTTTACTTTTTACAAAATGTAATAATTTGTTTAGAAATATCAGATATATTAGCTTGTCAAATTAAGCCCCCTCCAAGGGGGAGAAGGTAGATGTTGAAAACAAAGGGACCCAGGACAGAACCTTGGGGCACACCTGAAGTAACGGAGGAGGAGTAGGATCTGAAGGATTAGAGTTGAACAAACTGAGTGCAGCCATGAATGATTCTCAGCTACTACCACGTCAAGTTTTAGGTCAACATTTAGTAAATTCAGTATTGTTATCTCCTTTTTTTTCTTTTGTTCTTCTTTCCAGCTGATCCGTCAATTTGAAGTGAAACCAGACCCCAAAACTGGGAAGCTAAAAAGCGTCTATCGGACCGTTCTGGTTCCAGACAAACAACTGGACCTGCACTTTGTGGACAGAAAATGAAGAAAATCAGCGTCACTCATTTTTTACACACCAGAATGACTGAAAAGGTTGTGTATAAAAGCTGATTATGTGATATTATCGTTTGTTGCAGGGGATAATGCTCTATTTCATCCCTACTGACCGCCAGAGGCGGTGCTTAAAGCACTGAATGATCACTCTTGCGCATGCTCAGGTCGAGAATCTTATACCAACATGGTCACGTGTGACACCCGGTGACACCGGTAAGTCTATATAGTCACGTGACAATGCCAGCTCAGTCCCTTAATCTTCTCGCGAAACACGATGATTCCGAGGGACCGAACGCTCTGGCGGTCATCCGGGATTCATAGAACCGTAGTTACAGTCGTAACTTTCGTTCTATTTCATCCCTACTGACCGCCAGAGGCGGTGCTTAAAGCACTGAATGATCGATCACTCTTGCGCATGCTCAGGTCGAGAATCTTATACCAACATGGTCACGTGTGACACCCGGTGACACCAGTCAGTCTATATAATCACATGACAATGCCAGCTCAGTCCCTTAATCTTCTCGCGAAACACGATGATTCTGAGGGACCGAACGCTCTGGCGGTCATCCGGGATTCATAGAACCGTAGTTACAGTCGTAACTTTTGTTCTATTTCATCCCTACTGACCGCCAGAGGCGGTGCTTAAAGCACTGAATGATCGATCACTCTTGCGCATGCTCAGGTCGAGAATCTTATA